GTCTGCCCTTATCCCCTCTCTCACTGACACAGATCAGAGACTGGCCATCTCCATGACCTTTTACAAGATCGATATTGTTTTAGAAAAACTGTCACATGACAATAAACAAAAATGTATCAATACTCGTACTCGCAAAAATGGTATTGGTGCAAATGACAGCGGCCTCCTATCTTTTGAATTTTTCTCTAGTCTAGTCTTAGAGCTCAAAGTATCTGTACTTTTGCTTGGTATCGGTGCATCCCTAAAAATGATTACCATCGACGTAAGGAGAATCCTTCTTCCTGATGACCACCCTTTTTCTTTTATACCCTACAGTTGTTCTATGGACTATCTTACAATTGTTCTATGCACTAAACAGTTCCACCTGTGAAAAGTCATCGTACATTTGTCATAAGAACCAGCTGGCGCTGTCTATTTATCTTCTTTTCCCGCAGTCAGTGAGGACGCTCCGCAGTATGTTTCTCGGTGGAAGATTTGCTGTAGTCTGAACATGAATAAGGACGCTCACCTGTGTGACTTCTCTGGTGTCTAACAAGGTGTCGTTTATGAATGAATTATTTCCCGCACTCTGAACATGAATAATTACGCTTATCTGTGTGAATTTTCTGGTGTTTAACAAGGGCTCCTTTCTGAATGAAAGATTTCTCGCACTCTGAACATGAATAAGGACGCTCACCCATGTGAATTCGCTGGTGTATAACAAGGTGTCCTTTCTGAGTGAATGATTTCCCGCACTCTGAACATGAATAAGGACGCTCACCCATGTGAATTCGCTGGTGTATAACAAGGTGTCCTTTCTGAGTGAATGATTTCCCGCACTCTGAACATGAATAAGGACGCTCACCCATGTGAATTCTCTGGTGTATAACAAGGTGTGCTTTCTGAGTGAAAGATTTCCAGCACTCTGAACATGAATAAGGACGCTCACCCATGTGAATTCTCTGGTGTTTAACAAGGTCTTCTTTCTGAGTGAATGATTTCTCGCACTCTGAACATGAATAAGGACGCTCACCCGTGTGAATTCTCTGGTGTTTAACAAGGTCTCCTTTATGAATGAATGATTTCCTGCACTCTGAACAGGAATAAGGACGCTCACCAGTGTGAATTTTCTGGTGTTCAACAAGTGCTGATTTATAAATGAATGATTTCCTGCACTCTGAACATGAATAAGGACGCTCAGCCGTGTGAATTCTCTGGTGTTTAACAAGGGCTCCTTTCTCAGTGAAACATTTTCCACACGCTGGACATGAATAAGGACGCTCATCCATGTTCATACTTTGGTGTCTATGAAGGTTTTTGTTTTCAATTAAAGATTTCCCACACACTGCATGTGAGAAAAGATTTTCACCTCTGTGATCTCCTTCATGGGGTGAGGAAGATTCCTTGGGATTAGATGGATCTATTGCGGTGTGAGATCTTAGATGGATATTTCCAATCATAGTATGTGAATGATCAGAAGATTCACCCTGATCAGAGGGATCCATTGATGTCTCTGAGCAGTGAGGTCTGTGATGTATATTTTGTGTGTTTGGATTCACTCCTGGAGAATCCTGTGTGATGACATTATCTTCTGACTTATAATCGGCAGATAATATAAGATGTCTCTCCGAGGTATTCCTGACATCACATCCATCTGCTGGAGAGAAATTATTCCACTCGTCAGTAATCAGAGTCATGTATGTTGGTCTAGAAGTCATCACAGAGCTCTGGCATGGAATTGGGTACAACGTAACACGACATGTAAAAACAAATGAGTTAAAGGATAAAACATCCAAAACAACTCTGACACACTGTTTCAAGAAAAACCAAACTTAAAACTTCTGAGCATTAGAGATTGCTCTACCATATGATTTTATGTGACCTGGTATCAGGTTCCTGCAGTCCCTGTACAGCAAAACTTAGACTGGGAGAGAGAGAAAAAGTCTGCTGATTCTCATTTTACTGTCCAGAGACTGGGGGAGGGACATGACCTGTACGTGTTACTGACCTACAGCAGAGAAATATCAGGTCTCCTGCTCTGCCCATTTGTGGGCAGGTCTCCTACCTATTTCCTCTAAGCCTGTGAGCCTTGAGGGCCCATCATCACGCCTGCATGGACTCACAGAAGCAAAGAACAGCACCACATATTTCAGCACGTGGTGGGTAGTGCAAGGGGAAGCTGAAATGGAGAGGGTGGAATGGGTGGGAGGCTACATTTCAGATGTAAACATTAAACCAACAGACTACATAGAAGAATGTTGTCTCACAAACTTCACTATCACTTCTGTGTTCTATACACCGAGTCCCACCTACCTGATCATGGTGGGGGATGGTGAGATCTTCCTGTGTGGAATCCAGGGAATACAGAGGACGTGGACATCTCTCTGGTGGGTTTGTGTCACTGAATGTCTCCATGATGATATCCTTGAAATGGTCTTTGTGTCCTTCTGAAAACTTTTCCATCACACCAACCTCCTCCTCTTTCATCTCGTCTTTAACATCATTATCACACTCACTCTGGTTTATACCCTGAATATTGAGAACAATGACATCAGATGTAACTACATAGGTCAAAAAGTATCCCCTAGTATCTATTATTTCTCTGTTTCACCTTATGTGAGACGGTGAGATCTTCCTGGGTGGAATCCCGGGAATACAGAGGACGGGGACATCTCTCTGGTGGGTTCCTCTTACTGGATCCATCTGTAGGAAACACACACACTGACTGAATACATTGTTTCTATGTGTGTATCAGATGATGGGGGATCTAGGTGGACCCTCCGTACTGCTCTCTCCTCTTACCCGGTGATGTGAGGGGCGGCTCATTCTCCATCACGATGTCCTTGTAGAGATCCTTGTGTTCCTCCATGAAGAAATAGACACCTTATAGGAACCTGACACACGCAATGATACAGTCACTATTCTGTAATCCTGTTTGAAGGGAGAAGATAACAAGGATTACGTGTTCAAGAGTCAAGTTTTCCAGCGTTCTTGGAAGACGAAAGTCTAGTAGCTCAGGACTTGAAATTTTGAGCCCTGCTATAACAAACCTCACAGTGAACTTTGAGGAAGACGATGGATATGAAGGAGAGGGTAACCGGGTGTAAATATAAAATATTATCTTATTACCTCCTCTGCAGCCGATTTAAGCAATGTCTCCTCTTTGCTTCCTCCCAAATCACTTCCCACCTCACTCTTACATTACTTCCTGTTCATCACCCTACATCACTTCCTGTCTATACCTTACATCACTTCCTGTCTTTATCTTACATCAATTCCTGTAGGTGGCTACCACGTGAGATCACCACCTTGTGTTGAATATAAATACTTCAGTCTCCGTTACGTGTCATCATTGTGCTCGCTGCCTTGTGGTCTATTCCTCTGTTACGTTATATCCATGACTACACACGGATTATACCTCACATCAAATGCAGACAATAAAAAATATAATGAAAAACAACGTGATAGATTTTTTTTATATTAATAAAAGTGAAACTAAATAAGAAACTGTTTTAGAAAACAAACTAAAACTTGAAATACCACCTAGTGGGCTCATTTTACAAAGCTTCAGTACAAGTATAAGGAGTTTTTTTTTAGTCATGTGACTTTCATTTTCTGATCTCATTGAACTATTTATCTCATTGAACAATTAAAATGATAATCGTTTTTTTGAAATGGTGAATAAAGATCCATATCCTGGTGAGTTTTAGGTTTTTGGGTTGAGCCCATTGTAATGATATATAGGTGTCATCTAGGGTGACCTTCTCCGTTGGGTCTCCATTCAGGTACGTGATACTAGGATTTGGAGCAATTGTCCCATTTTCTGCAGCTCCCGGAGCTCCCGGCCGCCTCATCTGGCGAGGCTCCGGTCAGTGAGGCGGCTCGGGGTGGGAACAGATCCGCTGCGGGTGCCGGCCAGGCCTGTGATGCGGCCGGCGGCCCCTCCCCCTTCTCCTCC